CTTCTTTTTACTTCGTTTTGTTTGGTTGTTTTGTTTGGTTGTTTTGTTGTTGTTGTTGTTGTTGTTGTTGTTGTTGTTGTTTTTATTTTTTTGCTTTTTGGGGTTTTCTTTTCTCAACGTGAGGGAAAAGGACGATAGGAAGATTCCAAGCTTGCTCGAGGGCAGCAATAGATTACGAAAAGTGAACTTAATGAGGTAATGATCAAGTTTAGATCTTCATACAGAGCCTACTTCGACCCTGTCAGGTGTTTACTCACTCATTACTTAGTCAGCACATCTCACCACTCTATTGGGAGCCATGGCGGGGTTTTTTCTCTCACCGTTTCTTTAGGGCTTCTTTCCTCTTTTTTTTCTCGGGGGGTAGGGGGGGGGGTGGAAGAAGATTCAAAGTAAATGTTTTCACACCCCCACAATTACAAAAAAAATTAGGTTGCAAACATCGACCATGCCTGTCAGGGCCAACCGAGGCTGCGAGGGATACAATAACCCAGCAGAAAGACCGGGATATTAGATACATTGCTCTCCTTACGGGAATCGAGCTCAGGTCATCTGTGTGCGACGGCTGAGTGCATACACACTGCACTACAGAGCCCGGTGCTGAGTCAGTGGCAGCTATAGAATAACAACAAGGTACCAAAAGTCGGTGAATGTCAAGCTGAAGTCTCCACTCGGATGTTCGGCTGTCTCAGATGTGCAACTAAGCGTGTTTAGACAGCACATTTGGAACACAGTGGAACCTAATTAAACAAACAACTGTCCACGACATCCACCCGTCCAAGACATCCACCTGTCTAAGACAACCCCCTGTCCAAGACATCCACGTGTCCACGACAACAACCACGTGTCCAAGACATCCACCTGTCCAAGACATCCACGTGTCCACGACAACAACCACGTGTCCAAGACAACCACCTGTCCAAGACAACCACCTGTCCAAGACATCCACCTGTCCAAGACAACGACCTGTCCAAGACCACCTGTACACTCCTGTTTCCATACTTGCTGGGTCTTTTGCTGTTGTTGTTTGTTTTACTATTACAATTACCCTGTCCTAGTAATCCAAAGCCTAAGACAATCCCTTTTCTGTTCGACAACGAATGGCCGCCAAAAACAGCAATACGAGTGGCAACAACAACAACAACAACAACACAACAACAGCAACAACAACAACAACATGAGCAATAGTGGCAGCACTTGCACGAAAAACGCATCCTGTCCCTCTTTCCTTTTCTATGGTCAGAATTCGCATCTAATAATCGATCGTGTGTAAATCTATGACAGGACAAATACAGTAATAGAACAATGTGGTAGGCCAACAGACGGGTATGGGGTACTTGTAGCGAAACTGGCACATTTCTCCTGCAGGATGGACACTTGAGTTTTGTGACGTCATTGATCTGTGGGAGAGTAATTAGTGAATACCAGGGAGGTAGATGTGTGTGTGTGTGGGTGGGGGTGTGGGGTGTTTGGGAGTGGGAGTGAGTGTGTATTGATTATAATTAATAATAGTTTTTTGTATGGCGTATATCCCCCGCAAATTACCTAGCGCTCCGCACTATACAATCTATGTTATTACCCCAGGAGACCCCAAAACGTGTGGAAATACTATCGGCTTCCAAAAAAAATACACCTCAAGCAGCTGATTAAAAGCTCACACACTGACAAACTGACAAGATCTGTCACAGTCTGCAGCCAGGTACCCATATTGTAAAGTGCCCTTCCCAAAGAACACAATGTCTGGCCTAGGGCGAGGTTTGAATCCATGAAATTTCGGTTGCGAGCCCGGAACGGTATCATTAGATACCTACTCCCCCGAT